GAAAAAAATTTATGGGAATAATTCCTTAATATTTAGCGCTTCCGAACCACAGCAATAAATCATGGGGAGAGCTTGGCAGGTCATTTTACGTTTATAGGGGAGTATTTGGGTTTATTTTTGTAATGACAAATAGATGAAATCCGGTTAGAAATTTGTTGTGCTTTATTCCTCAAACGTTGTACACTCCTGGAAGATTTTACCTGGATTAGGGTCCACACCGTAGCATGTGCAGTAAAATCAATAAATTAATGTTTGCCATTGTACAGCGGTTCCTCCCATTATCCCTATAATTTTTTCGCTAGCCAAATTAATAAAAATAGCAAGAAACAGACTCACCGGCAGAAGCAAAAACGCCTGGAGAGACAGAGTGCACTGATCACGCGTTAAGTTCAACTTCAAAAAAATTATATACTCAAAATGACCTCTCATCTTCTTTAATGTTTTTCTGATTGTAGTATTATTTATTGATTAGAATACAGGCTTAATTTCTTTATCAATATTCTGAAGGTTCATTTCTTCCTATAGCAAGTAGGTGTTGAAAAACATTTACTGCCATAAATTTCATTTATCTCTAACAATTTTGCTTTAGAATTTGCAACATAATATTTACCGATATCAGCGGTGGAAAAAGCTTCGAGTAATTTGTATGCGTATAAATAGGTACGTAGTTTCAAAAAAAAAAAAAAAACAAAATAGTATGTATCTATTGATAGACAGTAGAGTAATAAAATTATAAAATATTAAAAAGAATATTCTTGCTAGCGATAAAAAAAATCTGGGGAGTCATCTAAAATATAGTGCAAATTCGTTACTCTTTTAGCACACATGAACAACTCACGATATTTTTAAATTCCATAACGCAACTCACTTTTCATGGGTTGAGTTATTAAATAGTTATGGATACTAAAGAAAAAATCTCAGACTTAGTTAAACAGTATTGAGTTGTTAAACCTTTTTTTCTTTACTTTTGACTATGGTACGAATTAAGAATTTTTTACAGCTGATCTATAGTTAGAATTATATTTTATACAGCTTAAAAGTCTGCTTATTCACACACAATTTTATTGATTCATTCACCTGATTTCTTACATGATTGCATTATGGAATATACTGTACCTGGGTAGTTTCATATACCACAAAATGATGATTTTTTTTTCCATATTAAAGACATAAGGTATGTACACTGAGAGTACGATTAGGCAAGTGCCAAACATTACAGACTCCGTATTCGCTTGGCTCATTTTATTTAAATAATGAACTGCAAGTAAAATAGAAAAAATGATAATTTACATTCGCAGTTTTTCTTTATTTTAGTAATACATCGCCTGTGTTTATAAATAAGTGGATGCTACATATTTTTTAGTACTTAAACAGAAACTGGACTATCCTTAATACCGATTTACATAAATAATAACAACAATAATATTATTATTAATTGTTTATTAAAGTAGACCAAGTTCAAAAAGAATAATTTTTGAGTTACAGTTATCAAGTAATTGCTAAAGATTTATATTTTTCAGTTCTATAATTAAACCAAATCCATATTTAAAATATTAAAGTAACTAAAGGCATCTCATACAACTGATATAAAATTGTGTTGATACTTAAAGATAAAACGGTTTAATTAATTTATTGTCTCATCAAAATTTGTTCAAAATATCTACTGCAAAAATGACCTAAGTCCAACATTGAAACAACAAAACATATTTCAAACAAGAGTTAAGTCAAAGTATCGTCTAAAAGTGCTGCAAGTCATAGTGAGTTAAAGTTACTATGATAATAAGTCAAGACAATTTCTAATGAGCAAAATAGAACTAATTTTCGCAGTTGAAAGAGAATGGAGTTTAATTTTTTAGCCAGATGATCAACGTGGCTTTCCCATGTAATTTTTTTATCCAGATGTAGGTCGAGCAACTTGACTGTTTCAGATTCTATAACTTCTTCCAGTCTCAGTGAAAACACTATAGATTGATTTTTTCGTTTTTCATAGCTAAGCCATTATGTGATAACCAAATCAAAGTGTTGTTTAATGCAATATTTTCTTTAGTTTTAACTTCATCCACCGTGGTTGCACTATTAATTAGAGTGGTGTCATCCGCAAGTAGGATGGTATTCATAGAACAGGAGTTTACAGGCAAATCATTGATAAATACAAAAAAAAAAAATTGGCCCAAGGATTGATCCTTGTGGCACGCCAGTATTAACCGTCCTAAGCTTTGAATATTTATTTTTTTCGTAAACTGTTTGAACTCTGTTTTTAAATAGGACGATAACAGTTGGTACAGTAAACGAACACCATTACTATTTTATTCATGTGATCTATTTAACCAATAATCTATCACAGTATTATTAACTATATACCTAATTTTTTCTTTAATCTTACTGCTAATAATTAATCTGGCTGCTATCTTTATAAATATACCCATAATTTTTATTCCAAAATTTCAAATTATAGTAACACTCGACTTTTGAAATTTAAACTGAAAATTTTGAAAGGGTTGTATATTGTAGGAAATTTTGCGGAACGTACGACGTCGATTAGTGTTATTGGAAACATTTTATTAGTCAATTAAAATTCGATATTAACATTACATTACAAAAAATTTCCTTAACTTTATAAGCATTATCTAAAAAAAATTCAACGACGTGATATCGATGAAATTAAAATTTGTTGGTACCATGACATTAACAACGAGTGTACTACCGATAGGTAAAAGCGCAGGCCATGAAAAAAAATGTTTACGTAGCTTTTTGCTTACCTTTTTTGTGCCCACTGGGACCGATTATAAGTGGACAACAGTACAAAGGCCAATTTTAGTGACTATTTGGAAAATATCTCTCATTATCTAAGTTTAAACTTTAGGCGACTTAAGCTGATTGAACTTTGAGACCTCCATCTATTTACGGCTTTTTCTTTATTAGTGTGGCTCCGACCTTATAAATGCCACCCAACAGCGATAGGGTAAATGTGTACAAGAGTGCGCATATGTATAAGAGTACGCACTGATGATTTCTGCTTATTAGTGCCATCTGGGTAAGATGAAGTTATACCATTCAGAATTTAATGTTAAACCTGAGATAAAGGTGCAAAAGTGACCTGAATATAGTTTATAGTTTGGTCGTACTGACGATTTTATGTTCACACGTTGTGTGGATGTAATTTTTACCGCTCATAGTTTTAGTTTTTTGTAAGGTACGTACCAGTTCTTTTATTTTACAGTAATAATTTTCATTAGTTGTAACTTTTAAGGTGTCGTTATACACTAACAGTTTTACACTTTCTGTCCATCAAAAGCTTTTAACTTTGAAAACATTAGGTTATGTACAAATGTACAAGAGTGCGCAGCGAGGTATTGTATAAGCGTGCGCATTGCTTGCAATATGTAGTCTAATAGTCTTGGAGATACATATCATACGGTAATGAATTATTTAACTCTACTACTTTGTACTGCTTCTCGAGTTGTGGGGTGGTGGTTATGGTGATTTTTTTTTAATTTTTACTTCCTGAGCGTGTTGTAATCGAGTCCGTCGACCGACTTTCTATTCTTACGTTTTCTCGTCTTTTCAAGACCCCTAGAGTACGAAGAAATAGGTCTCCCGTTTTATGTGTAGTCTGTAGTCACTTATTCCCATTTATTTTCACCTTAGAAACAAATATTTTTTCATAAAATGTAATGCGTACTCATAAGCGTTCAAATGCGCACTCTTGTGCAATGAACTGTCTAACAGTGCGCATTTACACATCTTGACAAAAATTGAAATTACTCTTAAAATATAGTGGTGTTGGGGCGTACAATTAAATATATCTGATCTCTAAACATGTATATAACGAACCCATATCATAAAATTTGTCTATCCAAAAAAATTAAAAAGTTGTTGACAGTTTTACACTAAGTGCGTACTCTTGTACACATTTACCCTATTCCCCTATAATTACTACACGTTTTAAGTTTCGGCTACGACTCCTTTTTTTCTCCGAGTTCCTGATATTTTTTAGTGCCTCAACTTCCTGATATATATTTTTCAACTCCTTTTTCGTTTGGTCTTGAACTTCGTTTCCTATTATTTTAGGCTCCCTCGTATTAAACTCTTCATTTTCTCTCAATCCTGTATATAAAACGTGTTCTTTCCGTCTTTCACAAATTTTCTTATTCTCGTTGATCAGGTTACCATCCTTATCTTTAATGCATGCTGTTTTTCTCGGACATCCGTCTAATATCCTGTTTGAATATACTTTATATTTCTGTAAAAATAAGTATGTCTATTTTCTTGAAATTTTCTTCAATACTTCGTACTTTTCCAGGCTTTCAGTAATTTCTAAACTTTTTTTCTTTGTTGCTCATATATTTCTAACACAGCAAGATCTCCGTTTTGATTCCTGATCTCTTCTTTATTTCGGCTCTGCTATTCATCGTTAAATTTACTACGGTGCCCATTATTTGTTAGCAGGGTCCTTACTGTTTCTTTTATGAATGTGTATTTTTGATAGCCCTGCATGACTCGTTTTTTTTTTAATTCATCTATACTGGCTTTAGGTTCTTGTTTTCGTTTCACTTTGTTTTCTTGTCTGAAACAGTCGTTTCATTTTATTCTTACTAAAAAGTGATCGGAATCTATTTCTGCTCGTCTGTATGTTTTAATTTTAGTAACTGCTTTGCATACTATTCTTGAAATACGATATGATCTATCTGATTAGTTTCATTATTCCCTGGTATTGTGCATATTCCTTTATAAATATTCTTTCTTCGAAAATGTGTGGTCATAATCTTCATTCTTTGGATAATTGCTAGCGTTACCAATAACGCGCCAACAGAAGAAAACGAGAACGAAGAAATAGAGAAATACTATGAAGAAACAGAGGCACCACTACAGACATTACTGGATCAGGACTTCAGAGGATATGTTTGAAAACAACAACTACTTTGTCAATTTTTGTAAAAAACAAATGAACTTCTTAAGTCAGTTTTGTCAAAGTGCATTCGCAATTTTCTCAATAAACGTAAGATAAAAATAATTATATTAAAATTTATAAAAAAATATGTTACAAACTACAATTCTTCTAAATTTTCCAGAATATTATAAATACTTTTGTACGTTTTGTTTCTTCTATATTTGCTGAAAAAATAGTCAATATGGTTGTGATTTTCGATTTTGTATTTTCCGCGTACTTGTCCTTGGGGTAGTAAATCGTAGAGGTTTTTGACATCCTGAAATATTTTCACAACAATGACAAAATTTGATTTAAAAGAAGATACATACTGCTGGTGTAGCTAGCTTATCATTATCACCATAAATAAAATACATTGAACTATCAATATTCTGCAAAGGATAAGATGGTGGTAGGTTGGAACCGTACACAACTCGATTACTTTCAGTTCCGTAGTCGTACATTAGAAAATGGCTTTGATTAAAAAATATCTGACCATAGTGATACAGCATTTTGTTTGTGATACCTCTACCGTGATGAGCAAAAATGTACGGATAGAGCACCTTAAAGTAATGTCAAAAAATAGATGTCACAACAAACTCATAACTTACTGGATCCATTTCATCAATTGTCCAACCCATTACTAGCGAGGTCACAAAGTTTACCACCGCAGGTGCTACGTTTACAAAAGAACCGAACCACCGAACGGCTTCGAACGTCATAAATTCGCCTATCCTGAAAAAACTCTATGGCCATATAAGATAAGAAAACCAAAAATTTGTACCATTACACCTCCAACGGATACATCGCGTAGAACAAAAATTTAAATAAGCTTGAGAAATTTTCCATTAACACAACAGGTGCGACTAGAATGTAACTTTTGACGTATTTTTTGGATAGTTCGGGTTGGAGTGATGCGTATGTTAAGCCTAAAGTGGAAGACATGGAATAACCTATGAAAATAACTTGGCTATTGGTTTCTTGATTAATCACCTCGAATTGAGCGTCGAGGTCATACAGGGCAATTTCATGAAAACTGAAAAAAATGTCATATTATTTAGAAAATTTAGAGAAAAACACACCTATAGTCCCAAAACAATGGATTTTTGTCAGTCATATTTATGTGGTTGCGTGAATAAGAGGCTCCCCTGTGGTTGCTCAACCATACGTCATAACCTTTATTCCACAAAGTGACTCCTAAAACTGACGTAGTAGCAGAAGATGTAAAAACATTCTGCTAAGTACCTAACGAGTTTAGACCATCTGAAAGCCACGCTATGGCACCTGCTGATATAGGGGGTTGTAAAAGTACTACACCTCTAGGCTTTTCTCGAGGAATTCTAAACATTGTAAGTATGTATCCATCTTTCGTTGTAACATTGTATGTCTGCACGTTGCCGACATACTTTTGTATTATTTCTGGCTAAAGTTTTGACATTTTAACAGCAACAACTTTTCTTTTTAACTTACCACAGTTAGATCTACATCTGGGTTGTAGTGACAATTTCCATTAAAATTAATCAAAATGTAGTCAAAGTAATTTACACAAGTGTTCTTGTTATTTACTTTAATTAAAAATGGAAGCGCAATAGCTACTAACACACCGAATGGTGTCAAATACTTTTTCTTTTCCATAATTAAATGGAATGAGGAAACTGTATGTGGTGGACAGTTTTTATGATTGTGTACGACGTAACGGAATCTGCTACTGATAACATTTGGTACTTGATTAAACTTATCAAAGGTTAGCGTTTTTTGTCGCGAATGAATCTGATTGGAAGTCATGGCATGAAATTAGTGAAACAAAGGACAATAAAGAAATATGTAACAGCGTGAAGCCAATAATTTATTTATGAGTTAATTAAATTACATCATTTTATATTATACAAACTACATATGTATATTGTATTTATACAAACAGTGCAAGTCAATCGTCTATACAAGGAAATATTTTACTCACAAAAAAAAAACGTAAATAAAATTTGAAAATAATTCAAAGCTTATAATCGAGTGTCAATTTTAGATACTAATTTGGAAACGTTTTTTAGTACAATGAAGGTTATAAGTGTTATGACGTTATTTTTTTGTAGCTACTTAAATTTTTATGATTTTTACAACCCAATCATAAGTTAGGAAGTATTGTAATAGGGCTCCCGTCCGGCGAACAGATAATTTGATGTTTTTCAACGTTTCGTAACCCCTAAGATATCACAAAATATGTCTCCAGTTTCCGTCTGTGTATCGGATCTCACTATCCAAAACTATTAGACTAATTGTTATTAAATTTTAGATGTATTACAGGAATGTTATGTAGTTGATATGATTCGCAATTGTGCAAAGTAAATCTTATGGAAATTTTATGCAAGAAGACACTTAAATACCTGTGGTTCATGAATTCGCCTTTACTTTTTAATTTCAATCTCCAAATTTTTGAGAAAAAAAATCAAAATTGAATGACCGCTCCATAAACTTGATGAGGTTATCTCAAAATTTTGCTCGAAAAATCCTGTTTAAAATGTACAAAATATTAAGGATCTACATTCTGCACTTATGGTTTTCCGTATATGCATATTTGTTAATACTGCTTTAACAAGATGATTCAAAAAAATTATAAATGAAGCAATTTATTGGATTGTTAACCTCATTTTTTCGAAATTTTGAGAAAACAGTGCTGCTGTCATTACTTTTACACTATTTTTAAAATTTGACTTATAAACGTTACCATAAAAAATAAAATTCACAAAATTAAATTTTATACTTTAATTTATACAAGAAACTGGATTTGTTTGATTATACTTCGCGGGCAAAAGGATTTTTATCCCTGTAACTTTAGGACACTTTTTTAAATAATCACTGGAACTGAATACGTATAAGCATGTGAGATAATTTTAAAAGTGTTTACTAGAAAGATAAAATTTGTTTCTGAAACACGTAACTCACATGAGTGTTTTTGTAAAATCTAGTTTCTAATTCTTTATTTAATTTTAGTCATCTTATGAACATCTATTAGTGTAACAAATAGGGAACAGAAGTGTCTTATTATTTGACTGCGGTTATAATAAATAAAAACTTCCTACTTATTGTTTGAGTTTAAGTAATGTATGGTTTATAAATAATTTTCCGGTACCTGTGTTATCTAAGTCAATGAACAGTGACACTGATTCATCGTAAAATATTATCGCAAAACGTGTACTTGCCGTAAACATGATGACATTAGTAACTAACCTTCGATCTCTGACGTGTAGTTAGTCTCCAGGGATAACTGATAAGTTATGAATATTGTGATACCTACTCTTTCACCAGAAGTAGTACTTGGACTTTGAATATCAGGAATAAAGAGAACACTTTTTCCATTGTGCGTAAAAATTTTTTTTTAGTCAAAAATGTTTATTAATAATTTATAATTAAAGAAAAAGTAATTGAAATTCTTCATTTTACGACTTGTTTTGTGCCACTCTCTTTACCACGTAAAGGATTACAAACGATGCTGCCATCTCTAGAAACTGACACTGTCATAAAGAACGTGTCAATTTTAATTAACTTAGCGCAATATTAAAGCAAAATTGCGAGTTTAGTCGCCGGTCATGAAACGTCGACAAAACATAAAAGTGGCCTGTCGTTCGATGGACTCGATTACTATGCTATCTTAGCTTACCCTCGGAAAGTAAAAATATGAATGTAATAATAAATCTTAAGGATAGACTCATCAGATTTTGCACATTTTAGATAGGATTTATTCGCCAAAATTTGTGTCTTCATCACTTTTTTGGAGGAGGGAACAAGCAAATTGTACCATGTTTAAAAATTTACCGTGCTTATGATAACTTTAAAACATGTAGAGGATTTCAAAGCATTCAGTTTTACAGTTTCTGATTTAATCAATAGAATAAATAATAACTCATTCATTAATTTTTTTAATCACTCTGTTTAAGCAAATCTAAAAAATATGAATGGAATGATAAATCACATGTATAGACATATATTTTGCAAATTTTAGATATAGGATTTATTCTGAAAAATTTTGCGTTGACGTCATCAATTTTTTGCGGAATACGCAAATATCTTTTGATTAAAAGTTTATCAGCAGATTGGAAAACATTCAGTTTTACAGATGTTGTTATATAATTTTGATTTTTGCCAAAAATCTGGACGTTTCGCGTAAAAGCTCCACACGGATTCATAAACTACACGTGTAGAACTATGTTTTTTTATACAACTTAAAACCCATTGATTATGTAGGTACAATTTTGAGTTATTATTGGTGGGGATGATTAGACAAAATTTAGTTAGCATTTTACCATCTACGTACATGATATTCATAATATATATATATATATATAAAATTTGACAACAGACAGACAGACGGGAGACCCATTTTTCGTACTCTTGGGATCATGATCTATTGAGAAAAAATGAAAGCAACAGTCGCCCGATGTACTCAATTACAATACTCCCTTAGCTTAGGAAGTAAAAAGTCTCACTTGATCCCGAAAATTGAAAAATTTAAATATAGAAGAACTAAATACTCGAGAAATACAAAAACCCATAATTTTAAAAGTAGAAAAGTTAAAATACCGAAAAGTTGAAAAATTGAGAAATCGAAGTATAAAACAGCTGAAAAATTTTAAAAAATGAAAAATTGAAAATCCAATAAGTAAAAAGTCGAGAAATCGAAAAATCCAGAATTCGAAAAATCGAAAAGTCGAAATACTAAAAAATCCCAAAACTGAAATATCGAAAAATTGAAACATAGAAGAAAAATTGAAAAATCGAAAAACTGAAAAATCACAAAATTGAACGAAATATCCAAAAATTGGGAAATTCAAAACTTGAAAAATTGGGAAATCGAAAAGTCAAAAAAGCAAAGCCGAAAAATTGCAAGCTTAAAAAACCAAAAAATTGAAAAATCAAAAACCTGAAAAATCGAAAAATTGAAGAACTGAAGATTGAAATATAGAAACTTTGGGAAGTCGAGAAATGAAAATTCAGAAACGTAAAAATTTAGAAAATTAAAACTATTGAAGAATTGAAAAATAAACAAATCTAAAAATCTAAAATTTAAAACATTGAGTAATTTAAATATCGCAAAATTGAAAAATCGGGAAATCCAAACATCAAAAGATCAAAAAATAAAAATTCGAAAATCTAAAATTTAAAAATCGAAAAAATGAAAAGTGGACAAATCGGGAGATCGAAACTTCAGAATTTAAAAAATTAAAAAAATTGAGAAATCGGATAAAAATCGAAACATGGAAAAATTGGAAAATCGAAAAATTGAAAAGCCCAAAAGTAAAAAATCGAAAAACCGAGAAATACAAACATCGAAACATAGAAAAATTCAAAAACTCAGACACCGAGAAATCGAAAAATCAGAGGATCGAGAAATCGAGAAGTGGAAAACCGTGAAGAAAAGCTAAAAATTGAAAAATTGAGAAATCGAGAAATTGGACAATGAAAACATTGAAAAATCGGAAAATTTTAGAAAAGAAAAATTCAAAAATTCGGAAAATTGAAAAATAGAAACATAGAATAACTGAGAACTCGAGAAATGTAAAAACCTAAAATTTTAAAAACTGAATAATTAAAACATGGAAAAGTTGAAAAATTGAGAAATCGAAGTATAAAACAGTCGAAAAATCAAAAGTTTAACAAAAAGTGAAAATCCAAAAAGGAAAAAATCCACGACTCCAAAAATCGAAAATTCGAACAATCGAAATATTGAAAAATCCAAAAACTCAACGAAATATCCAAAAAATTGAAAAATTAAAAAATTGGAAAAGTGAGAAATCAAAAACAAAAAAAAAAGCGAAAAATCTTAAGTTTAAAAAATCAAAAATTTGAAAAATCAAAAAAATCTGAAAAATCGAAAAATTGAAGAATTAAAACAAAATCGAAACTTTGGGAAGTCGAGAAATGAGAAAATAAAAAAAAGACTAGTTCAGGAATCGAAAAACTGAAAATTTAGAAACGTCAAAGTTTGAAAAATTGAAAATTCGAAAATTTGAAGAACGGAAAAATTGAAAGTGCCCAAAATTGAAATATTGGAAAATTGGGACATCTATAGTTGAAAAACCGAGAAATCGAAAAGCCGAAAAGGCTTAGTAGCGTATTCATAAACCACAAGTTCAGGACTATACTACTTTTTAACATTTAAATAACATTTATTCGACAAAATTGTAAGTAAGAAAGATTAGTTCCAGAGGGCATGAACGGATAAATTTTGACTAAGGATTTAACATGCTTTCAATAACTATATATAAATTGGAAAATGTTACTTTTTTTCAAAATACCTTGACGCCTAAGGTAGAATAAACGCAGAATATAAAATTTAAATTACATCTACTATTGTAAAATTACGTCATTTCATTCTTGGTGACAAATTTTGGTGAGCGTTTTAGATAGTTAGATTTTGTAGATAATACAATTTGAAATGTAAATTTTGTCATTCGGGAACACTATGTATTGAATCAATAAGATGTTCAATAACGTTGTTCATTTATTCGTTGTAAAGTCCAACCAGATGGACGAAACGGGTTAGTTCTTATTAGTGGATGTGTATTAGATCAGCTTTAACGAAAGTCGACTTATAGATAAATCGTTTAGAGTCGATATTGGTCTGAGTGCGTTTTGGTCTGTAGATCCAACAAGTTCTCAGGCGACGCGATATATAACCAGTATTACATCTA